CGGGGACATGTCCACACTAGGCCAGAGTTGGTGGGGACAAGTCCACTCTAGGCCAGAGTTGGTGGGGACATGTCCACACTAGGCCAGAGTTGGCGGTGACATGTCCACACCAGGCCAGAGTTGGTGGCGACATGTCCACACTAGGCCAGAGTTGGTGAGGACATGTCCACACAAGGCCAGAGTTGGTGGGGACATGTCCACTCTAGGCCAGAGTTGGTGGGGACATGTCCACACTAGGCCAGAGTTGGTGGGGACATGTCCACTCTAGGCCAGAGTTGGTGGGGACATGTCCACACTAGGCCAGAGTTGGTGGGGACATGTCCACTCTAGGCCAGAGTTGGTGGGGACATGTCCACTCTAGGCCAGAGTTGGTGGGGACATGTCCACACTAGGCCAGAGTTGGTGGGGACATGTCCACACCAGGCCAGAGTTGGCGGGGACATGTCCACTCTAGGCCAGAGTTGGCGGGGACATGTCCACTCTAGGCCAGAGTTGGCGAGGACATGTCCACTCTAGGCCAGAGTTGGCGAGGACATGTCCACTCTAGGCCAGAGTTGGCGAGGACATGTCCACTCTAGGCCAGAGTATTATATTCTCTTTTCTAGTTAAAAAATCTGGGCTTCTCAGAGGACCAGTGTTTCCCATTAATGGCGGGCCGCCACAGTGTCTTTGGGCCCGCCACAGTGTCTTTGGACCCGCCACAGTGTCTTTGGGCCTGCCACAGTGTCTTTGGGCCCGCCACAGTGTCTTTGGGCCAGCCACAGTCTTATATAGACACAGTGAGAGAGAGAAAACAACAACAAAAAGATCTGTCAGAGAGACAAATTGTTATATTTTTTTTAAGCGCGCGTCCCGCCCTCTTTATAAAAATGCCACCCCAGCTGCCCGGTTCGCCCGTTCCTATTCCTGTCCTCCAGCAGCAGGTGCTGCCGTGGGGCGCCTCCCCCGTCCCAACCCCGTCATCCTGCTTCCACAGAAGTCCCCATCAGCGCTGCGGTCAGAGACACAGCATGCAGATATCCCAAGTTTTCCTGATATAGTTGTTCATAGATGCCCGCGAGTCAGATAAATGATCCTGGATTTTACACTTTGCAAGGTGGTGTTTTGTTCTTTTAATGCCAGTGAGTGCAAGCAGGCAATAATTCATGCATCATGTGTGGATTAGAACTACTTCGATTGCGCAGGAACAACAATAGAGAGCGGGGTGTAGGTTGCTGGTGAAACCTGTGCAGCGTATCTGTCCAAAGCGGTGCTCTGTTCAACCAGCGATGCAGGTGACTGGTTGATCAGAGAGCTGATTGGATCAGTCTGATAAGTTTCTGTCACCTAGTTACAACTCAAAGCTGTGCATCCTATGAAATGGTTGAGGTTCAATCCTCCAGTAAAAAACAAAAATATATGACTCATTTTACTGCAGAATATACTAAAGTATATCCACGTCTAGTGAAGGGGAGGAACAGTGGCAGATCTACTGTTCCTCCCTGGGGGAGCAGCGTGTTTTCCTGGGGCACTGAAAAGCATGAAACAAGCATCTCCCTGAAATAAGTTTCTGGAACTTGGGATGTCTAAGCATGTTTACCCTCAGCGCCCTCCTGGCTTACATTAAGGTGGGGAGCTAGCGGGATGTAAATGTTAAAAGTTATTTGGTCTAAAATAAATAACTGAATTCGAAATATTTTATCTTAAATAACGGCATTTGATTCACACAGCAACAGTCACTTAATCAACTTGTCCATTGTATTTTTCTCTCTAAGATAATGATTTGTAGGCTCCTTAGTGGACCACAAGAGAAAAAAGAAAAAGAAAAGTGGCCTAAAAAAAATGGGACAGTGATTCGTCTCCATGTTCTGAATGCTGGCGTACCATAAAGAATAAATGATGAACAGTTTAGTTTGTGCCTTCAAGTCGTTGCTCATAGGAAGACGTTACTTGGATAGAACCTCACGGAATATCTTCAGAACGGCTCCAAATGACACAAAGCCCAATGTAAAAAAACGGCGTTCCCCTTTAGGTGGGATACACCACGCTTAAAAATGTGCACACATGAAAACCCCCGAGGGTCTGAGACTCTCCCACCACTGTCTCCTGAAATCCTGTGGGAAACACTGGAGGACCATGACTCCCAGTTCCAGGTTAACATGTTTTCTTATTGAACAGAGAATCAGACTGCAGAGCTTCTACAGATCTAGAAATGTAGTTTCTAGAATCATTATATTAGTAAAGAGGTTCATAAATGATCTCCTCCTCCATTTTAGATGTGATTAATCTATCTCTGTTACAGGGATATGTACCTAAAGCTTTTAAGGTTGCTGTAATTAAACCTCTGCTTAAGAAACCGTCTCTTGACCCAGATGACTTGGTCAATTATAGACCTATATCCAATCTTCCTTTCTTATCCAAAATTCTTGAGAAATTAGTTGCCAAACAAGTTTGCGATCACTTACACCATAATGAACTTTTTGAAGAGTTTCAGTCTGGCTTTAGAGCTCATCATAGCACTGAAACAGCTCTGGTGAAAGTCACTAATGATATTCTCATGGCCTCAGATAATGGACTTGTATCTGTGCTCGTCCTGTTGGATCTTAGTGCTGCATTTGATACAGTTGACCATAATATTCTTTTAGAAAGACTTGAATATTTTGTTGGAATTAAAGGAACAGCACTAGACTGGTTTAAATCTTACCTATCTGATCGAATTCAGTTTGTTCATGTTAATGATAGATCTTCAACACGCTCAAAGGTTACCTGTGGAGTACCACAGGGATCAGTGCTAGGACCAATTCTCTTTACTTTATACATGCTCCCAATTGGTAGAGTTATTAGACAGCATGGTATTAATTTCCACTGTTATGCTGATGATACCCAGCTATATCTGTCTATAAATCCAGATGAAGCTAACCCATTACATAGATTACAGGCATGTCTTGAAGACATTAAAACCTGGATGACTCTTAACTTTCTGCTTCTGAATGCAGACAAAACAGAAGTTATAGTCTTTGGACCAGAGTCTCTGAAAAAGAAGCTGATTAGCCAGTCACTTCATTTGGATGGGATTAAACTGATTTCAGATAATAAAGTAAAAAATCTTGGTGTTGTTTTTGATCAGGACCTGTCATTTAAATCCCATATCAAAGAGGTTTCTAGAATTTCCTTCTTTCATCTGAGGAACATTGCAAAAATTAGAAATATCCTGTCCAGGTGTGATGCTGAGAAACTAGTCCATGCATTTGTTACTTCAAGGCTGGACTATTGTAATTCTTTACTATCAGGAAGTCCACAAACTGTAGTTAAAAGCCTTCAGCTGATCCAAAATGCTGCAGCCAGAGTTCTAATGAAAATGAAAAAGAGAGATCATATCTCTCCTATCCTGGCTTCTCTTCATTGGCTTCCTGTTAAATCCAGAATAGAATTTAAAATCCTCCTTCTCACATATAAAGCCTTAAATGGCCAAGCTCCATCTGATATCAGAGATCTGATTGTTCCTTATGTTCCTAACAGAGCACTTTGCTCTCAATCTGCAGGTTTACTAGTGGTTCCTAGAATTTCTAAAAGTAGAATGGGAGGCAGATCTTTTAGTTATCAGGCTCCTCTCCTGTGGAACCAACTACCAGTTTTAGTCCGTGAGGCAGACACCCTGTCTACTTTTAAGGCTAGGCTTAAAACTTTCCTTTTTGATAAAGCTTATAGTTAGAGTGGCTCAGGTTATCCTGATCTATCTCTATAGTTCTGCTGCTATAGGCTTAGACTGCTGGAGGACATAGGGACCCCCATTTCATCATTCTGCTTCATTCTCTATCTGTTCTCCTATTCTGCAGAATCTGTTAGTTCAATCTCTAACCTTCTGCTCTCTCTGCTTTTCCTCAGAGTAGCTTTGCCTCGTCTGTTCCTGTTTGGCTGTGACGTCATCCTGGAAAGAAACATCAGCTGTGCTGCTTCTATCAACACCCTTGTTTATAGATGTTGGAGATCTATCACTGAGCCTGGTTCTGCTGGAGGTTTCTTCCTGTTAAAAGGGAGTTTTTCCTCTCCACTGTCGCTACAAGCATGCTTAGTGTGGGGGATTGTATTTGAGTCAATGCAATCAACTGGTTTTCCTTAGATAGAAAACTTTGTATCGATTTGACTGTATGATCTGGTTGAACTGTAAAGTGCCTTGAGATGACATGTGTTGTGAATTTGGCGCTATATAAATAAACAGAATTGAATTGAATTGAATAAATCTTTTTAAACGGAGAGAAACAGGGAGAGCTGCAGATTTAAAGGAGAAACAGATTGACTGGGATATGCAACATGCAATAAAATATATATCCATGTTCAAGAAAAAAATATGCTGTTCTATAATTAAAATCTAGCATATCCATATTTTTCTGGATGGATGGAATTTAAATTGTTTTACTAGTGATGCATGATTTATTGATTTTGGTATCAGAATCGGCTGTTATTGGTTATTTTTTTATACATCAATGTTTTTGGGCTGTATATATACGTCACAGCTCCTCTCTTAGCCATCCTGTCATGCACAGATCAGATGCCAGACAGTTGGGTTTAAAAAAAAAAAAAGATTTACTGTAATGAATGGTAGAGAAAAACAAATCCTCTGGTTAGCCTCCCCTCTGGTTCACCAACAGCTGGAATGCAATAAAAAGTCCAGCAATCCCTCGGATACCCAACTCTACAAAGAAGATAGCCAGACCGGAGCACTCACCACAGCTGGGGGCCAAACACATTCTGTGGAATTGTCAGCCGTTCCCAGTATTTATAGGCCAACCAGTAGGGGGCGCCAAACACCACTCATCATCACATAACTATAAAACATATTTTAGTAGAATTTAATCTACATCTTCTAAAACCCATTACATACATAATGCACTAAAAGCATCTCTCTAACATCTTTAAACATAAATATCAGTGTATTGTGGTTCCTTGTGTTCTCAACAACAGGAAAGAATTCAATTTTAGAAAATACAAAAACCTGATGAAAGCATTCAGGTGGAGTAACTGTAGGTCCATCTGCCCCCACCCTCAGAACCCCCCCACCCTACACCTTTGCTACAGAGGAACCTTCTGCTCCACATCTGCAGCCCAGGGGCCCATATTCTCCCACATCCGGCCCTGCTGATAATAACAGTCATTAAACCCACATGAATCTGAGCCCTCATTGATTGGGAGGTTAGTCTGGTGTGTTTCTACAGTGGGAACATCTAGTAATGTGGATCTAAGTGAGAGGAACCTCCAGAGATGCAGATGAACATCAGACCTACCGAGCCTCTGCAGCCTGACCTGCGGCTTCAGGCACACAGCTAGCAGCTTGCTCTGGGCGGCCAGCTCCTCCTCCAGGCGGATGATGGTTTTCTCCACCTCGGAGAAGATCTCCTCCGCAGCAGCATCCAGTCTCTGCCTGATAAAGTCTCTGAGAGGAAGAACTGAACCCATTCCTGCAGCTGCTGATCCAAACTGGCCTGAGATCCGACCGGACGGTCCACAAAGCAAGCTAGCTGCTAACAACTGCTCAGCGCTACTTCCGGGTGACCTTAGGGCGAACGGATGCGTCAGCGCTGCCGCCATCTTGGTAAGGGAGAAGGTCTTCTTCTTCTTCCTTTTTTTTTTTTTAATGGCGGTTGGCAAACAACTTATAGGTGCATTACCGCCACCTTCCAGAATGGAGTATGGGCCAGACAAACTATTATATTCTCCCTAAAATACCCGTTCTTCTTAGAAAATTAAAAATACTCCCAAAAACTACATCCCCAGATGACCTTTGAAACAATTCCCTTATATCTAGTTTACTTTTATTCCTGTCTAACTCTCTACATAACATCTCTCTTTCCTAAGTATATTTATTACATTCTAAAAAATATGTTGGACAGTTTCTAATTTCCCACAAATACAACACCCTGTATTATGCTTATTCATTATTTTAAGTACTATTTAATCCTGTGTGTCCGAACCTTATTCTAGATAAATATCTTCTTTTTCTTTAATTCTATTACATTTTCTTAATTCTCCAACCTTTTTTTGAATACTATAATAAAATCTAGCATTCCCTCCTTTATCCCACTGTTCTTGCCATTTCTTCTTGAAATACAGTTTTATAATATTCTTTAACTCATTTTTACTTATGTTAATGTTTAAATCAACATCCTTTTTTACAGCACTCTTAGCAAAACTGTTAGCTAACTCATTACCGATAACACCAATGTGAGCAGGAATCCAGACTAATTTAACAACAGAACCACCATTTTTAATCCTAAAAACTGAGTGAAGATCCATGATGGAATAGCAGGAATAACAATCACAGGACTGATTACAAAGTTATCTATTCCTACATTTTTTACTTTATTCATAATTGTCCATCCAAAACTATTAATTTTTTCTTTTCTTTTTCCTGACATGGTTGCAGTGTAACTTACGGAGGATGATTTTCTTTAAATCCTTTAATATTTACCCAGTAATTTATGGCTAGTTGTTCTCTCCTGAGCTCCAGTGGCATCTCACCCATCTCCACTTGTAGAGCGGAAACCGGGGTAGTTTTCATTGCTCCACAACAAAGTCTTAATGCCTGATATTGTATTCTATCTATTTTCTTTAATAAAGTACTTGAAGCTGAATTGTATACTATACAACCATAATCTAAAATTGATCTAATTAGTCCATTATATACTGTTTTTAATGCTTTTCTATCTGCTCTCCAATCTTTTCCTCTTAGACATCTCATTATATTTAAAATTCTTTTACTTTTTTCAACTATTTTATCTATATGTATCTTCCATGTAAGTTTTTTTATCAAACCAGATGTCCAAATACTTAATTGATCTATCCTTTCTATAACATCCCCATATAATTTGAGATTTACATTATTGTTTAATTTCCCATTTGTAAAAGCAACACATTTAGACTTAGATGTTGAGAATCTAAAACCCCAATCTAAAGCCCAAGCTTCTACATTCAGTAATGCTTCTTGTAGTTTTTTATTTACAAACTCTATATTTTTCCCCCCTCTTCCAAATAATACCATCATCTGCAAACAATGAGACACCAAAGGATTTATCTATACTACTAAAAATATCATTAATCATTATACTGAATAGAATAGGACTTACTATACTACCTTGGGGAGTGCCATTTTCAACTTGATATTTTGAACTTATTACCCCACCTATTTTTACTCTAGTACTTCTTTCAGTTAAAAAACTTTTTATCCATCTATATATTTTACATCTTATACCTATTCGTTTTATTTTAATCAATAGCCCTTCTTTCCATAACATATCATAAGCCTTTTCCACATCCAGAAAGACTGCTAACACACTCTTCTTATTTACCTGAGCCTGTCTAATTTCATGTTCCAGATATAATGCAGGATCTATTGTACTTCTGCCTTTTCTAAATCCAAATTGATAAGATTTAATCTTTTCTTTAGATTCTAAAAAATAAATTAATCTGTTATTTACAATTTTTTCCATGACTTTACCCATACATGATGTTAGAGCTATTGGCCTGTAACTTTCAGCTAAATTAGGATCTTTACCAGGTTTGCAAATGGGTATAATGATGGCTTCTTTCCATATATCAGGTAATATCCCTTCCTCCCACACCTTATTATATAATTCTAATAATATTTCTTTACTCACATCACTAAAATTATTTAACATACTATAACTAATTTGATCTTTCCCAGGAGTAGATTTACTAGAATTCTTCAATGCTTTATTTAATTCTAACAAGGAAAACTTCATGTTAATAGAATCCTCACAATCTTCTTCATCATTGACCAATGCAATATTTCTCTTTAATGTCATTTCACGCCCTCTTTTTTCTTTATTATTTACATTTTCTGTACTACGTATCTTAGCAAAACCTTTAACTAATATTTCAACTTTACTCTTATTGTCTATTATAATATTTCCATTATCTTTAATTACTGGGAAAAATATTCTTTTGAACTCCCTGACATTTTCCTAATAGTATTCCATACTCTATCTAAAGCAGTATTTTTCCCCAAAGACTCACAATATTTCCTCCAATAATCCCGTTTAGCATTTCTTATAGTTTTCCTAACTTCTGCCGGTTTCCTTTTATAATTAACTAGATTTTGGAAGCAAATTGTTTTCTTAAGTGTTTTAAAAGCCTTATGTTTAATTGCAAATGAACATTCTGGTGTCCACCAAGGAACTATTTTCTTTTTTTTTATACCACTACTTCTAGGAATAAATATTTTGGCCGAGTTAATAATACAATTACTAATTTCTAAATTTAATTCATTTATTGGTTTACTTATATCTACATTTTTCATATTAATCTCACTCATTATTTTAAACCTATCCCAGTTTGCTTTCCCAAATTTTCACCTCCCCTCAGTTTCTACCTGATCTTCCTCTATATCTATTCCTATCCTTGTAAATACCGGATAATGATCACTCCCTATTGTGTTTTCTTTACATACTTTCCAACTGCAATTATTAGCAATAGATTGAGAAACTAAAGTCAGATCAAAAGCCGATTCCTTACCTCTTACCAAGTCTACCTGAGTACCTACCCCGTTATTTAAAACTACCAATTCTTTTTCTTCAATTATCTCTTCTAAAATTCCTCCATTATAATCATCTTGATCTCCCCATAAAGTGCTATGTGCATTGAAGTCCCCACACCAAACTATTTTCTGATACGTTCAAATTTGTAGGTTTATGATAAAAAAGAAATGGAGTCCACACAGAATAGGGTTCTTTGGCTCCTGCAAGAGGAGAGAGTCACGTTCAGCTACATCTGCACTCTCTCTGTCTCCTCAGCAGAAGCCTTTTATTAGCAGATCATAACACATGGGTTGGGTTACAGAACAGTGTTCTTTTGACAAGGCAATTGATTGGGTCATAGGACAAAATGCTCCTCTTGATTGAATCACAGCAGGATGCAACCGTGTGACTTTGCCTCATGACCTAATGATTGAATCACAGGATAGCAGGATGCAGGTCACAAAAGTCTACGACCCTCTTGATTGAATCACAGCACACAAATGTAGCATAATTTTATAATCATAACTATAACATTTCGCCCCTGTTAAACATAAAAAACATCAGCATCTTTCAATTCATATTATATTCATAGAAGTAGGAATATGAGTACAAACATAACAGTCTGTTTTGTTCAAATCTTCAGCAACGCGCTTGGAATGCTGCCACCACATTTTGGCACTGTAGGATGACTTGCTGTGGATCCATCAAAAATCATCCTGCTCTTCCTTTGTTTCAGACAGTCAGTTTAAGTCCCTAGGAACACCGGTCCAATGGTCACCACCAGGCAGCAGAACGTCATTAGTTTTCCCGTCTTCACCAGCTCTTCCAATGAAACACCCATTAACTAGGACTCTAAAGGACTGGGTTAGGTTGTTTTCTTCACCAGCGGTGAGACGAGTGGTCCTAAAAAAAAAAAAAAAACCTTTGAAGCTGGACTTCACCACAGATCCCTACCTTAGTTATGGGGTTCCTGTGAAGGTAACTGGGCTTTTCGCTGCGGAAAGTTTTTAATTAGCTTACAGTAACTCTGGTGGATCCAAGTGTCTCTTTCCTGGATTTTCACGGCGGTGGGGGTTGTTAGTTGCACTATGTAGGGTCCTTCCCACCTCAGAGCTTTCCAAGTTTTTCTTTTGATGATTTTAATCAGCACTCGGTCTCCAGGCTTCAGGCCTTCCTGTGGGGAAACAAAAGGAGCACTAGGCAGATTACATGTTTTCCGAACAGTTTTGTCACTGAAAAGCTTCAGCATCCACTTAGTTAGCGGGTCAATGTCATCTTGTTCTTTTTCTGCCCATGGCTGTCCTTCCCATAGAGGTAGAACAAAAGGTCTCCCATTCACTATCTCAAAAGGGGTCAAACCATCAGATGTTGGAATAATCCTCATGAGTAATTTTACCAAGTGCAAAAACACTCTGGCCATGCCTTTCCTGTTTCTGCCCCATTTAATTTGTAAGAATCAATTAGGTTTTTAACATCCTCTGACCATTTAACTGGGTTCTGTCTGGCTGGAGTTAAACCTTGACAGGCAGTCTGCATCTCTTCATCTGTCCATGGCCTATACACAAGAATAGTGGGTCTACGATCTAGTGGGTCATTATCTTGGGGTCCCGTGCGTTGACCATAACGAGGGTTGGCCACCTCTAACATTGGAAAAGCACATGCCCCCCCCCAGGATCTTGGTCCTGTTCTTGTTTTTTTAATTCAGACAATCTTGGATAAATAGGGGCAGATGGGCCTTTTTTACAAGCCTCTATTTGATAATCATTATTGTAATACTTTGAATTAAGCTTTACATCCCTTTTTGATTTTCTTAATTCATGCTCACAAGGGTCAGGGGCACTGAGTTCCATACCATCCATAGAGGACGATATGGACAGGGGGCTTGCTCCTGCTCCTCCAATATCATTATACGATGGTGGGGCTACTGGAGGGGGAACAGTGGCATGGCTGTGTTCATATTCACCGTGATGGTGTTTATGTCCACCTTCCTGCGCAGCTGATGCCACTGCTTGAACCCCATCACCCCCTTGAATTTGATTAGGGTCAGGATATTGAGGAAGCATACGGGATACAACAGTTTCTTCATCAGCTTTAATTTTTACAGCAGCAATTGTAGCTTTCTTTCTATCCTTCTTCTGTTGTATTTGGCTTTCCCTATTTTTTGCTTGCATAATCCACTTATTTAACTCTTCTAATTCTTTTCTGTATTTAGCTTGTTTTCTTTTTGATTTATACACCAACTTCATCTCCACCTTCTGCTGAATCTTCATCAGCGGCTCAACTCTCAACTTTCCATCCCAGTTCTCCTTCTCAATCCACTTTCTGGCAAACTCTGGGTCACCACCACAACACGCCACCATCCATCTAACATCACCTGGCATTTCCTTCTTACTACTACCTTGTCCCATTTAAAAAAAAAATAGTCCAGTACAAACACCTAGGGTATTCTACGCACTGGATGTTTATTCAGCAGGACAGCACCCAAACACTGTTGTGGTCATTTCTGCTTCTACATTTTCAGGTGAGAAATTCTTGCCTCTGCATCCACAACAGTTATACTGTATTAATTCCTGCTGTTTTAGTATGAAACAACAGAACACAACGGTTCGATTGTTTCCTCACACACTTTCACACAGTCACACACACCTATTCTAAGTCCTAATATTTTTTTTATTTTATTTTAACCAACATAGACAAAAAACATTTATCGTGTACACTTTGGAGTCTCCAGCTCCAGGCCCTCGCACGCACCGGATACCCAGATCCCAGATCTGTCAACAAACCTGGCTTCGTCAAATATCCCTGCTGCAGCTGCAAACCTTACTATCTCAAGAACAACACAGAGTCCCAGACTCAAATGCACAGAATACCCAGATCCCAGATCTGTCAACAAAACTTGGTTTCGTCAAATATTCCTGCTGCAGCTGCAAACCTTACTATCTCGAGAACAAGACAGAGTCCCAGACTCAAATGCACAGAATACCCAGATCCCAGATCTGTCAACAAAACTTGGTTTCGTCAAATATTCCTGCTGCAGCTGCAAACCTCACTATCTCGAGAACAACACAGAGTCCCAGACTCAAATGCACAGAATACCCAGATCCCAGATCTGTCAACAAAACTTGGTTTCGTCAAATATTCCTGCTGCAGCTGCTAACCTTACTATCTCGAGAACAACACAGAGTCCCAGACTCAAATGCACAGAATACCCAGATCCCAGATCTGTCAACAAAACTTGGTTTCGTCAAATATTCCTGCTGCAGCTGCAAACCTTACTATCTCGAGAACAACACAGAGTCCCAGACACAAATGCACAGAATACCCAGATCCCTGATCTGTCAACAAAACTTGGTTTCGTCAAATATTCTTGCGACTACAACTAGTTACAGCTTTTACATGGTCCCAGACCAAGTTTTGATCAAAAGCTTTAGGCCTACCCTTTATGTGCAGATCAGTCCTCAGCTTGAGTCGTCACCAGGATGTCCAGGGCAGGGCTGGACCAACCTATTGGCTCCGTCCGGCAAAGGGTGAACGGCTGTCGACAGTTTCTTGGCCTTGGTCCCGCACGGTCCTGGACAATTGGATCTTGACTCCCGTAGTTTTGGCACCAAAAATGTTACGTTCAAAATTGTAGGTTTATGTTAAAAAAGAAACTGAGTCCACACAGAATAGGGTTCTTTGGCTCCTGCAAAAGGAGAGAATCACGTTCAGCTACATCTGCACTCTCTCTGTCTCCTCAGCAGAAGCCTTTTATTAGCAGATCATAACACATGGGTTGGGTTACAGAACAGTGTTCTTCTGACAAGGCAATTGATTGGGTCATAGGACAAAATGCTCCTCTTGATTGAATCACAGCAGGATGCAACCGTGTGACTTTGCCTCATGACCTAATGATTGAATCACAGGATAGCAGGATGCAGGTCACAAAAGTCTACGACCCTCTTGATTGAATCACAGCACACAAATGTAGCATAATTTTATAATCACAACTCTAACATTTCCCTCTCCAGTGTTCTAATATTGTTTCAAGTTTTATCTTTTCTATTTTTTTACAAGGATTGTAATAATTTACAATTTTAAGATTCCCTTCATTTGTCCAAATTTCTACTGCAATAGATTCTAAATCTGATATTATTTGGAGCTGAATGAATTTAACTTTTTCTTTTATAAATATGGCACATCCTCCTCCATTCCCACTTGTTCTATCTTTACGTAATATTGAGTAACCATGAATACTAAACTGTAATGATGGCTTGAGCCATGTTTCCTGAATGCATATTATATCTGTTTTTTTATTTAAATTTTTAATGAAGCCTTTAAATTCCTGACCATTTGCTAATAAACTGCAAGCGTTCCATTGTAATATTAGAATTATGTGATGATTTGAGAGGCGTCATTTTCCAGAGATCCTTCCCAATGCCTGAGCTCATCATTAATTTTTTCCCAAGACAAGTTTTTAACACTAAAAAACTTTGTAGCTGCCTTAACTATAATTTTTATTTTTTCAGTTTTAGTTTTTGCTTGCTCTGAACAGTTTACGATGTATGCAAGAAAAGGAATCAACTTTTCTAATGTAACATTACACTGATTATTGTCTGCCATCCTTTTCCTTTGATAATTTATTTTCGGATTATTATCATTCTTTTTAACTTCTTTCACTGCTTCAGCATAAGTAATTCTCTTATCAGTTTTAACTTTTTGGATTTCAGCTGCTTCTTTTCTTATCATGCACCCTGCATACGCTGCACTATGATTTCCACCACAGTTACAACATTTAACAGGATTATCTCCACACTCACCATAAGGATGTTCACCTCCACATCTACCACACCTCTTTTTCCCTTTGCAAACATTTGCAGTATGTCCATATCTTTGACATTTGTAACATCTTAGAGGAGGTGGTATATAAGCTCTTACATTGAAACTCATGTAGCCAACCATCACTTTATCAGGCAGAACTCTACCTTTGAAATCCAGAAGAACAGATGCACTGTCCATTTTCTCCCCATTCCTAAAAGCCTGTAAACATTTGATGCCTATAATCTCTCCTCCTCTTATTGTTTTCTTTAGCTCCTCCAAGTTTTCTCCTACCGGAATCCCTGATATTACTCCTTTCACTTGTTGTGGGAAAATTTATATCTTTCTCTCATTATATATTAATATTCATATTTACTCACTATAAAAGTTTTCACTCAGTCTGTTTCTCTCTCAAGGCCACACCATTCCCTGCAGAATGGTGTTTGTAGACCAGACATAGCTTCTTCCCATAACAATCCAGATTCTTTCTCAAGGTTTATTCATAACATGTTACTGTTAAGCAAAGTGTGTGTAATTTGTTATGACTCTGACTGCTTTCGATTGTTGTAACTAGGGGGGAACGAACCCTGCCCAGATCAGAACAGAGCAGAATGCTGTGCCATGATGACTGTTCTCTCTTTGCAAAGATGATTAATAAATGTGCCGACTGAGTGAAATCCATCAATCTCCGACAGCGATTGTCAGAAGTGTCAGGTACCACCTGGAGGAAGCAGTCTTCCAGCCTCAATACCCCGGTTAGAAGGTTAAGGGAGTGAGGACTTCTGGCATCGAGGTCCCTAGAGGTCAGCAGGAGGATCAAAACGAACCATTTTTTTGAGACGGTGAGATGATCTTTTGTCGGCACAGTTTAAATTAAATTTCAAAAACTAAATTACAAAACAACAGATTGTTTACAGATTTAAAGATAATTAGAAATCAAATACTGGAAATTTTGTTCAAACAAAGTCCTCTTCTTCTCCATTAAAATTATAATCTAGCAAGAAACTAATTAATAGGTTAATCATTTTAATGCACTAAAATTTGTATAATACTAAAGATTATACATATGAAATAACAGATAATTTTCCTTTTTGGGGAGCAGAAAGGCAATTCAGGTTTTTGTTCCACCTGTGAACCAAAAGACCTCGCATAGGAACTTGAGGCTCTCTCTAAGGGTGAGAGGAAGGTTGTAAGTGCCACCAGAAGGCATTTAATTTTACTGAGACGTCGGTAATCTAGAGTGGGATCCCCCCCAGTTATCCAGGTCGGCACCAGAGGAATGGTGTGCATATTGGCAACCGGTAAATTACCTGTAGATAATGGGAAAGGTTTTGCAGTTCTACAGTATGGTAGTAGAACAAAAGGCAAGGTTCCAGGGAATTGTCAACTGCCCAAGGAGAAATTTTTGATCAATTGCAAAGAAAATAGGGTTCTTTTGAAGATAAGATAAACAAATATCATGAGAAGTTAGAGGCTAAAAAGAAGGTAAGGTAAGAAATTCACAGATTTTGAAAAAAAAAAAAGACAAAAAAAAATGGGAAAAGAGAAGATAACAGTTTAAAATGATGGATGGTTAAAAGGAGAGTTCAAAGAAACTCTGAGCTTGAAAAGAAATGGGTTAAAATAAGAAGTAAAAAAAAAAGAGTGTTTAAACCTGATACTAAACATATTTACACTGTATTACATATTAAACTTACACTATACTAAGTTATAATAATGAATTTTAATTTCAATGGTGCTTTTAAAGAAACAAAACTCTCTCAATTTTTACAGGAAGTTAATAACTCATAGCTAAAAATAAAAAACTATAAAATTATTAGAGAAAAAAAAGTAAGTAGGGCATAAAATAAGGTCAAATTAAGGTCAAATTTCAGTTTTTTAAATTAAGTTTAAAAAACTGAAAAAAACTTAAAATAGAATAAAATGGAGGAATTAACCTAAAATTAAATAAAGAAAACATACAAAATTAAAAAGAGAAAAGTAAGGTTGATGATAAAAACAAAATTTGAGAAAATTAGATGAGAAAAGTTTGTGACGAGAGGGAAATGTGACTTAAAGTGACTAAAGGATGAAGTGGGGTGACTGACAAGACGACATTCCTTTCCTGAAAAGGCTTCTTCTTTTTTATGGTAAAGATGAACAACTTTATTTTATTTTATTTTTTATTATTATTATTATTCATTTGAAATATTGAAACTTAAACTAATCATTGTTTTTTTTTTACTCCTTGCCCTTCAAACATGGACTCCCTGATCGGAACCGCTCCTATGTGGAAATCAGACCTGGAGGAGATGCACCCCTCCCATCAGCCCGCCGGAGAAAGACAGCCCGCTTCAAGCATCAATCTCCCCCCACCCCCCCAACGCACACACACCGACACAGCAACCGGATGGAAATGATGGGTTAAAATCTGGGGAAAGCAACACAAAAGGATTTTCATCTGCTCTGAACCCCTGACCCTAATAGCTCACCTGAGCTGCAACTTGCAGCTGCAACTTGCAACTGCAACGTGATAATGAACGGCCTGGTTGGCTTTCACTAAACCATGATTCTTTTAGTGTAATTAGATGACTGTTCTCTCTTTGCAAAGATGATTAATAAATGTGCCGCCTGAGTGAAATCCATCGATCTCCGTTTATTTAACTAGGATGAATAGTTGAATACTTTTTTCCCACGACACACTCCTCTTTCCTCCCCAACTACCTTTCTTTCTATCACTTCCCTTTTACACACCATTTGTAATTTTAGGGCCTTGTTCTTTTGTTCTGCATTTTTACAAATGATAAGTAAGCTTCCAGCCCTCAGGATTTTAGCTAACTCCACGTCTCCAACAACTTTCTTTAGTCCATTCGACAAGGTGATAGGACTTACTCCACTCATATCCTCTCCAGCCTTAAATTTCAATATGACTTTAGTCTTCCATCATTATTTTCTTTCTTGTCTCAATTCGTTCTTCCTCATCCTCAAGAGATCTTTTTCCAACATTTGATCCCCTTTTAATTTTATCTCTTCCCTCTCTTCTATTTTATACCATAGACCAGTGGTTCCCAAAGATTTTCTTCTGGGCCCCCCTTTGGATTACAATAAAATTTCCACGCCCCCCCCACAAAAAAAAAAAAGAAATCAACTGGGCACACACATCGTTCAACCAGATATAATAAATCTATACACATATTTTGTTTTCAAACTCCACTGAAGTTTATTTCACACTTCAGGTTGCAACAAAATAAACTACACACCATCTTTACAGTGGAACACTTTTGTGTAACTGTATTTTTTTCATAGTTCTATACTGTAGATTAGAAGAGGACTCTTTGTTGTCTGTGTTATTTTAAACATATTTCTTTTTTTTATTATTTGTAACAATATTTAACTCTGCTATCATCAATACATTAAAAAAGCCTCTGTGCAAAATGGAGTGAAAACATTGAACAGCTCCCAGAGAGTTTTTTCTTTGTACTTTAATCCTCCCATCTTTTCAGTGGCTGTAGTGAGCCTGCTTGTTGCTGTAGATCTTCTCAAATCTGGGTTGCAGTGTCATAACTGTCCATTATGCTCAGTCAAGCAAGCGCTGTTTTTTTTTTGTTTTTTTTTCTTCATTCATCCATACCACTTCCCGCGCCCCCCCTGCAATGGTATTGCGCCCCCCCTAGGGGGCGCGCCCCACACTTTGGGAACCACTGCCATAGACCATCCTGTATCCATATTTTCATCTTCCGAACACCCCCCACTACAACAAGCCATTGTCTTGATCCACTCACAAACCAGATTATGCCAAAACCACCTTTAAATTCAACGTATTACTCGCCAAACAATCTCTGATCGAACAATCTCCACGCGCCCTCCACGCCTCCGAAAGGAAGTGACGCAGGCACAGACACCAACCAAGGGAGAAGGTCAGCTGGTTGAACCGCATTTTTTTAGGATTAAAAACCTTAAGTAGAACTTTTCACTGTTTTCTACATACATTTTCAACATTTGTGAAACTTGCCTTCTGCCAATAACTGACTCAATCATTTACCAACACATCATATCTGAGGTTTTTGTCTTCTAAGAAGGGCTGTACCAAAACTTACCTTGCTTTACCTGACCTTCCACCTTGCTCCTCTCCTTCCCCTTAGACACCGCTCCCTCTTTGGACTGGCAATCCTAAAATAGATTCTATTTAACAAGGTAAATATATACAGTTGTGCTTGAAAGTTACACACTCCCGATAAAGAAAGGATAAATTCACAACAGCAAACTTTCTAATAAGAAACTAGAAAAAATATACATCCAAAATTTGAATTTGATGGATTTAAATAGTGATTCTTGAATTGTGTTTTTATAAACAGTGATTTAACAAACAGTCCCAGACACCTTAGAGCACATTGGTCTAGAATATTTCACCAACAGGAGTAGAAATCTGGCTAAACATTGAAGAAAACACCTGATTGAAGTGATTCACTCAAAGTAATGCTCAAAATTTTAGTTTATGAACTCAATGGTGTTGGTTTACTTGTTTTGTTTGTTTATTATTAATATTTCTATTGAACCACAATTCAAAATTAATTTGGAGGGTGTGCCAACCCGACAGGTGGCACACCTGTGTTTCATCTGGTGCAGCACATATAAGGTAGCCTGACGTAGTCCGACTCAATTCTAGTCAGAATATGAGTTTGATACTGCTCTATAGAGCTGTGATTATGGGGCGTGTTTCGAACGAACCAGAAAAAAAAAATGCCTCTGCCCTCAATTGGACAGACCTTCAGCCAATAAGAGCAACGGAGTGCGTGACGTATGTTAAGCGACGCATAGTTGTTGTCAACAAAAATCAAAGCGTGCAGTTGAAGAAGATGAGCGTGAACAATTTTTGCCGGTGTTGCAAAAAGAACCTGAGGATACAAGGAGTCATTCAACACACGACCCTCATTTTTAAGAAAAACAGTTAAGGCGAATGCACATATGATCAAGTTCTCCGTTTAGGATTACAACTCCAAAAAACATCAGATAAATCGCATCGCATTTGTCAGTCCTGTCAGAAAGTTATAACACGGTTAGAACAAGACATGCTTGTGTTAAAAAAATGGGCAGACGACGAAGCAGACCAGCCGGAAGAACCGTCTTTATCTGAGGCATCAGACAAAAGATACCGGGAGCCTACTCCTTCCAAGACGCCCAGGACTCTGAAGAAGTTATGCCCCAATCCGTCAACTCCAACCGGCACCAAAACGCAAAGAACCATTACAGAGGTAAGGTTATTAATACATTTCTACTTCTTATGATATGACTATGAGAATAACCTCATAACTACACTGTTACAAATTGTCCTGTATTTTTACAGTGAAATGCTGGCACCAGGGTTGCCAGCATTTTACAGTTAATTATACAGTACCCTTACTGTAATCGAAATACAGTATATTACTGTTACAAAAGAAATCTTTTGATTAAAGCAATTTGCTGTTTTTATCAGATTTAAATTTGATCAGATTTAAATTGTCATTTAATTAAATGACAACTGTATGACAACATCATCTGACAAATAAATTATGCTCCAATTTACCGGATTGGCTCATAGAATGCAGGATTCAAATGGATAGTCCTTGTAAAGAAAATTCTAGAGGTTGCTTCCACATGTCACAACAACATGTCTTCTTGAAAAATACAGTAGCGTTCTGTTTAAAGAGAGCCTCCTTGCCGTTGAATCTAACATCATTCCCAAAATGCAATGCTACTCACAGTATATTACAGTATTTTATTAAAAACAGTAATAATTGCCCAGAATGCATTGTTTTTCACGGTGCAGTACCGTTTTCAATAGAAACAATATGATACTGTTCAGTTTTGGCCGTATTTATACAGCAATTTGTTACAGTGTAGCATGTTATCCAACCCCCACTCTGTGTTCTGCACCTCTGTGGAGGGTGGCCAGTGTTTCACTGACCTTACTCTGACCTACTCAGCAATTGCATCTGGTGTCACCATATTTAACAGTCTGTATATTTCAATGTATTGTCAATGCACATTATACTTATTAGGCTACACTGTAATTCTTCACACTGATACATTATCTTATATTTCAGGTTGTCACCCATTTCCCATCACAGATGGTTGCCAAAGTATGTCCTCCAGAAGATGCCTCAATAGTGAACAGCATCACTAAGAAAAAATGGGCAACAGCTGCAAAGTTAATGTTGAAGCATAAACACCTAGTTGAGGAAATAAAGGTGCACATCCTGGAGCTAATAAGCAACGAATGCAAACATGTCTGTAATCCAAACAATGGTTTCATCCTTTGGAAGTCATCTCCGGATGATCTGAAAGCCTTTTCATTTACAAATTTAGAGGCAGACCTAAAACGTTTTTCACCATTCCTCTTCTCAATTCTCACAACTGTCACCAACCACTCTAAAACGGCAACTTGTGCAGCAGCATCCATTGCTTTGAGAGGAAGAGAAGCACGCCTGTCAGCCTTTGCATACTACCTAGGTAGTATTCTACATTATGGTGGTGCGAAAAAAGCAGTGTTTGAAAGACTGAGCAAAATGGCCATAACAACAACTCACCAAAATTCTGTAGAGAAGCAGAAGGAGTTGGCACTCCTATGTAGTGGGTCTCTAAAAATGTTAAAGGTCCAGAATGAAGTTTTCCTAAACTCTGAAGCGGAAGGAAACATTGATGTTGGTCAGAGAGTGGACACCAGCGAAGACCAAAGCACAAGTGATCAAAAGGAGCCACTTAACATGGAAGAGCTTCACTTGACAGGTGAGATGACAAATGACCAATATATAGAAACACAACAAGCAAATCAAATTCTGTGTCGTCTTGAATGTTATGTCTATGTATTGATTAATGCTACTACTACTAGTAGTCGTAATAATAATAAGTCTTTGTTTTTTTTGTTTTTTTTTTAACTTTTTTCTTTTCCTGCAGATGACATGGCTACGCTACCTTTCTACAGTTTAAGTGACTCTGAAGCAGCAGAGCTGGGCTTGAGCTCCTCGGCTTCTCCGATCACCCACCCCACTCCTCCACCAACATATTCCATAATATTTGACAATTTGGACTTTTCATGCGCGCACATCATCAGTCCACCCACCACAGCAATAAATCTATACACTGGATTCATCATATTGCAGTCCAAGATAGAATCTCAACATATCACCTCAGCAATGACAGACCGGACTGTGACATCCTTCAGTACGACCTCTGCAACTCACTCCCCGGACCAGAAATCCAAGACTATATGCTACGTGAGTTAATTGTTCTTGGAAGCCGCATCCTTACCGAGTACCTGGCTGTTTTTAAACCCTTCAAGACATTAGTAGTTCACCACATGCCACATCAATATACAGAGGACATGGCTAAGTGCTCCACTGATGTAAGTAATGAGATAAATCTGTAAAATACAACTAAATACACATAATTTTCAACTCAAACATTACTGCAATCTCATCTGTTTTTTTATCAAAGAACCCTCTGGTACTGCTCTTCAAGGACGAAAACAAAACATCAGATTTGGTGGACACACTTCGCCACCTTCAGAAAGAGTAAGAATAAAATCAGGCTCCACTGTCAGTCTTTGGCAGGTAAAGGGCTGTATTGTAAGTTATTATTCCCCTATTTGTGTCTCATCCATTTAGGTATGTGCCAAAGGGACCCGACGGATTGTCAAATGTATTAGTCGGAGGTGACCCGCTGACCGAGGGGAACTGCAGAAACATACAGTGGGCCTTCTCAGATGGTGCTACAAAGGAAGACCGACTGGAAGGTGTCATCTTTAAGTTTGAGGACTGGCATGCCATCAGAAACCTCTTTGAAGTGAGTAACTATAGAATGATGTTGATTAGTAACAAAATAAAAGTATCACACCACTACTTTAGATGATTTTGAGATAGATTACTTGAAGAGCTTTTGTGTGAAGTTATGTTTATCCTTTGTTAATCACAAGTCTTCAATGTTATTTAAGATCTATCATTGGATTTTCTATGATGGTGCATCCTCAAAAGACCATGGCACACTCCTTGCCAACATGACGAAGTTGAGGTACAACGTCTGCTATCTGCAATACCATGAATACATACATTGTACAATTATTACTGTTGTTTTAACCATCAAAATGGTCAGTAGTGTCATGATGGGTCTTCACTTTGTCATCACATTATGCTTGTCTTTACAGTCTAAACAATATTGTTGTTAACTACACTGATTATAAGTACTCTGTGTTGACCATGGTTTCCACAGTTCTTTCACAGAAATCCAGTCTGGGTATTTCATGAATTGGGTTGTTATGGGATGGGGAATACAGTACTGCTATCATGAAATCAGCAGTGCTGTTCTCCTTATGGTATGTTTTCAACTTGATGCATGTTTTCATTAACTGTGGGTGGGCATTTGAGGCTTTTCAAGATAGTTGATGGTTAGTTGGTCAGTTTCAGCAGTACTAAAGAGCACACTTGACGCACGATATTCTTATTGTACCTGTGCGAAAGACTGTTTTTAACACATTAACATATGAGCGTGCGTGTGTGTATGTGTGTGTGAGCATGTGTGTGTGTGAGTGTGTGCCTGTGTGTGAGCGAAGTAGTGGTCGCATAAAGGTTAAGGAGCTGTTCAGCATGCAAAACAGTTGTGGGTTCAATGCCCTTAGTCATTACCCTTGTCATATAAATTACATAATAAATGACTGTATAAAAGCGTCTGCTACATTAATAAATGTAAATGTCTGTGAGAGATGGAAAGAATAACACTGAGAAAACTATGTCAACCATTCGCTAAACTATGTATTTCTGTTACATAGGTGCAGCAATGCTAAACAAGGTCCTCATGCAGCTTACAATGCCTATAAGGAATTTGTGCATAAGGACACCACTGCACTCTTCCTAGCTGCTGCAATGGAACCCTTTGGGTTGCAGGATGTGACAGGTAAACTTGCCACTTGGCATCACATTCATAGTTTAGAACTAGCATTTATCACATCAATACATGCATCTATATGTTACTGCTGTAAATTGTAATTTTCAAAATTGTACACTTTGATAAAAGTTTGTATCCAATATTATAACCATGACTTAAACATTTTATTCTGTGCTAACAGAAATTCCTGATGGGTTTGTCCCGCTGGATGTTAACAACGGATTGCCGCAATGGAAGAGGAGCTGGCTGCATGAGAAGGTTGGGCAGGTGGTGGACACCTTTGTCATGATGACGGGCGTGACATAAGCTGCAACTCAAAGGCAGGCTACGACACAGCAGAGGCAGCAGTTTCCGTGTCGTGCAGACGGGTGTGGCAATATGTATGTATACGCCAAGGAAAGGGAAACACATGAGAAGAAGAAGCATGGTCTTGAGTCTCCATCAGACTCTTCTTCAGAAACTGTGATTCCGACAAAACAAGACCACCAAGAACATCACGCAGAAGTCAGACTTGGTTTTGGGTTCTTCCTGCTAGACATGCAGGATGCAGTGAGGGAAGGGGATGGTAAAAGGCTGATGAGACTGTACAAAGTTGCCCTGCTTTTCTACAAAGCTCATAGGCACAGCCAGTATGCCTATAGCACCTTCCTTCTGACACTGCAGATAAATCTCACTCTGTCCTCTTGCATGGCACACAGTGTGACATGGAACAGATTTTGGAATGGCAGAGGGAGAAAGGGGAAAAATATTCCACTTGACCTCCACCTGGAACATCTAAACAATTTCCTCAAATTATTTATGAGAGGCTTGGGACCAAACATGTCAGAAATGTCATCAGCCAGAATCAGTAAGTCCATTGGCATTGTCAAGGAGCTAATGGACAAAACTGACACAGAGCTCGAGCTGACAAGGCAGACTGGCATTCATCATGTGGCCCGAGAACAGGAGGACGTTTTAACACTGGTGAATGTTTTCAGGGAGACACAATTATTCAAAAATTACCCAGGCAGGCAATATCACGCATTCCCAAATTTTCAGAGAAACTTATTGGCAAAGCTAAATTACCAGGAGTTATGGAGGTGGATGAAGTCCAAAATAATGGACTGGCGAAATGTGCTTATTTAAATAGCAAAGTAAATGTGAAATGTAAAATGGTGATGGTAATTTGTAAATAGTATTTTCATATACGACAATGTAAATAATTTATTTTTAATATAATACTTTATAATAGTAGCATCCACATTCTTGAAACCTTTATTTTTGTGTGTTTTCTTATTGGTTGTATGTTCAAAGTTCAGAGTATATGTTCAAACATTACCTATTAAGTGTAGATATTAAAAATCTTTATTGACATGTCTTATTGTTTGTCTATTAAATACAGAAAAATCACCAATCAGTAGAGAAGTATAAACAATTTAAATTTTATTCAAAAACATACAGAACCTTGAAGTTAGAAGTTTGAGCCTGAATTTGAAGCTAGTCTGAGATCTTCAACATTGACAAGCCTGATTCCAAGGTACCTGGTGATGATTCTATCTCATCCTCCTCATCAAGGTAACCACTGTAATGTCGTGGAATGTCTTCCCAACGACTTAAAATTTTATGCTAAGTCTTGTAAAAATTCAAAGTTCTTAAAAAGCAGTTGAAAAGTCTTCAAACAATGATAAAAAAAAACAGGCAGAGGCAGCTGGGTCACGGTCCAGAGTGGTTTATTGCAAAAATACAAGACACCACCCGAGATGCATACCGGTCAACATCTGAAGTTACATACAGAGACAGTCCCGCTTATATTCACTCCTGGGGCTCGGGGCTCCTCCCCGAGCTCCTCCTATTTTGCATAATCTTAGGTACTATTTTCCACAGGTATTTCCAAATTCTTTTATCTTACCGGTGGAAAACCCACCTCAAAACATATTTTTTTTATTTTAATTAAAGCCTTTCTTTGATCTATCAAAGCTTTTTCTTTAAAGGTCATGTTGACATCTCTTTGCAGGTCATGGTGACATATATATTGCAGTTACATCAAAAACTCATTATAACCTTGATCACCAATATGTCAAAACAACGTTTCATTCAGTGTAACTTATGTTTCATAACATTTCATTAAATCATTCAGCATAACTTTTGATGCTCAAAATTTCATTAAAACACAGCGCGGTATACTTTGTTGTATTACTTTGATATGACAACACAATATATCATACTTAAGTTCAGCTTCGTGGTGCAACTGTAGTGTATTAATCTGCACCAATGATTAGAATAAAATAGAATTAAATGTTTTATAAATGTTTAAAGGGTTGTTTTAACAAATACATTTATGTATGAGAAGCAGTGTGTGTGACTCTGCACCTGTCCCTTTGAAGTTTGGGATCCAGTCAAATGCAGGTATTGGGTTGAATCCAAGATTTGGATGCTGCAGAGCTACAGGGTTGAGGCCTTTTAGTGATAGAGGCACACTCATTAAAAATGAATTATTTGTCATATCAAGGTTGCACAGCTCAGCTAAAACTAATTGTGGTATATGAGTTGTCATAACCAAAGTAATACTGTATGGTACTAAGCAGGTAAATGGCGACATACAAGTGATGTGATACCAGGACTTGAGTTTTAAGGTTATGCTGACCGTTTTCAAAGAAATGTAATAATCATAAGTCACTGGATGAAAACTTTGTTTTGAAAGTCCTCCCTTACCTTCATGAAGGTAAGGGAGGACTTGTACAATCATCCAATCCCATCTGATCTGACGCAATCAATGAGCCTAGATCAACCTTGCTCTGCAGCATGTAAATTGGCTACTGGTAAAAGAGTGACAATCTATACTGACAGTGCATATGGGTATGAACATTGGTGATGTGATACCAAGATTTGAGTTTTAAGGTTATGCTGACCGTTTTCAAAGAAATGTAATAATCATAAGTCACTGGATGAAAACTTTGTTTTGAAAGATTAATGATTAAGACTATGATGTGTTTTTGATTTAATGGCAATATATGTCATCATGATTTGCAAAGAAATGTCACCATGACCTGTAACAAAGGCTTTTAATTAAATATAGAAAAAATATGTTTTGAAAGGGACTTTCCCCCGGTAAGATAAAAATAATTGGACTTACCCGAAGAAAAACACCTGGAATGATGAAAAGAAAGGAGGGGGCTTGGGGGTAGTGTTAATTTTAGCAGCCATTTTTAAATTTAGTTTTAGTCTTAGTCCAGTTTCAGCATCGCTTGTTAGTTTTTATCACATTTAGTCGACATCATCCCATTTTTATTTAGTCTAGTTTTAGTCGACTATAAGTCGAGCATTTTAGTCTTTATTTTAGTCCAAGAAAACATAATTTTATTAGTTTAGTTTTAGTCAACAAAAACCGTCAACATTTTAGTCTAGTTTTAGTCAGGACATAATTTTAACCTTTTACTTTTTTGTCAGCAGATAATATTTAACATTTCCTAAAATGATTTCACATTTCAACATTTTCTCTCATCTTTTTGATAAACCCCCCCCCCACTATTTTAAGGAACACATGCAGACATGGAAGATGTTCTGACAATATTTGCATATTTATTTTGAACATTGTTAAGGTTCAAAGACACAAACACAAATGCTTGCATTAAAACAAATAAAATACACCTGACAAAGGAAACAAATAAATAAAATAAAGTGTTTTATGAACTTAACACAAGTGCTGGCTGTTTAAAGCTAGTTCACATAGAATAATAAAATAAAGTGTTTTATGAACTTAACACAAGTGCTGGCTGTTTAAAGCTAGTTCACATAGAATAATAAAATAAATAGATAGAAATAAATAGATTTGAGATCAATGATGTAAAAAAAAATAACTCCAACTGATACAATAAAAGTGCTTTCCTTCCAGCTTTAGCTGGCCTGTCATTGTTTCTGGGTGGTTGTTGGTGGTCGGTGTATCTTCAATCTGGAACAGAAATTAATACAATGTCAGGATAGATGCACAGCATAACAGGAATTCCAAGTGTATAAGTAGCATATAGGTCTCTTTTTTTCCTTAACAAAAACTAAGTCTCTGTAAAAACTACATTTGACCATCCATTTCAAACTCATACAAACAACCTACCGTAACTATCATTTTATGCAGGAATAAATTGCAGACATTTTTATGTGTGCATGCATTTTGGTTGTATTAATATTGATTAATATTGATGTTTGCATCCAAATCCCTGCAGTGGTTCCCCTAGCAATGGCTATTTTGTGTATGAAAATCTAGGTTAAAGTTGTTCTGAATTATGTGTGGCATATTATTTTAATGTTCTTATCCTGATACACACTGTCAAAGACCGATAGTTTCAGTTGGTTTTAGCATTTAGCATACATGTGTAGCTGCCGAGGTGTTTTGTGTTAACTATAGTTCACTTGCTGCTCCTAGTTTACCTAAAGCGTCTGTCTGCTTTAATCAAACTTGCAATGTAACTGAAACTATAGTTGCCCGGCCAGTATAACATATCTAAGTTCTATCAACAAGTGGCTACGGTCGCTACGTGCTAACAAGCTAACGTAACGTAGCCAGCCTGGATACTAAATGCTATGAAAGTTAGCCAACACCAGTTAGTTTATCATTGGGATATTATAGCCGTTGATTTAATGTTACATTATAAACAATCACCACCAATCTTTCTGTTAACTTACCGTAATGTCTTTGTGGTGAACTGCGACGTGTCTCTTCAGGTTGTGTTTTTTCCAGCTATCATGTGGCCATATTCCTTCCCTTCCACTAAAATCAAGCATTTGGTTTTGTTCTCCACTTCAATGAAGTGAAAATGTGTCCATATAGCACGTCTCCTCTTTCTCCCGAGCCCCAGAGTAGGTTTGAAAGTGGGTGTGTGGGAGCTGACAAGAAGGAGGCAGAGCAGGAGATAGGATTTGAAAAAAACATAAAATAATAATATATAATTTTCGTCTCGTCTTTGTTCGTGAACTAAAATGTCCATAGATTTTAGTCCAGTCTTTATTTACCAAACTGCATTTTCGTCTCGTCTTTATTAGTCAACGAAAAATATTTCTGATTTACTCCCAGTTATTGTTTATTAGTGGGGATTTTCGTCTCGTCTCGTCTAGTTTTCGTTGGGTGAAAAATGTGCGTTGACGAAAATATTTTCGTTTAGTTTTCGTTAACGAAATTAACACTACTTGGGGGAGGAGCCCCACAAGCCCAAGAGTGTATAAAAGATGCCCATTTTCTACATTTGTTCAGTTGCTCACCGGTGGTCAACTCGTGTGATTCTTTGTATTTTGTAATAAATCACGTTGGACCTGGATTCAACTGCTTCTGCCTGATTTTTGGATCATTGTTTGAAGACTTTTCTGCCTTTTAAGAACTTTGAATTTTTATAAAACTTAGCTCCAATTCTAAGTCGTTGTGAAGACTTTTTCCACGACATTTTTTGGCGAGCCAGCCAGGAGGAAGCCCCGGCGTCGGACGATCTGCAGGCACCAGTTGGAGGAGTGGAACCCGAAGGGCCCAAAATTCACCATTACAGGTGAGACAATTCGTTATAATTTTCTAAATTAGTGCCAGCCTCCGGCGACTGCTTGTGGGTGTCAGGCGTCACAAAGCTATCCTAAAAGAACCTAGTATCCCAAATTTAATAAAGTATTTTTCAAATTTAGTAAGTACTGATATAAGGATATATGAAAGGCAGATTAAGCTGGGGAAAGGTCCAGGTATGTATGAATGTATATATGAATGCATGGTTTAAGTATTAATTAATGTTTGTATTATTCTGTGTTTGAACTGTTCCGTGTTAAAACTATTGTGTATAAGTTAAGCTTAACAAGTGATGTTCTGAGCGGATGATTGGTGAAGGGACAGATTGTTCAAGGCGTTTGACATAGTCTGTGGAAGCCATAAATCCGGAACATAAAAGTACGCATGTTACGTGAGGGTATTGGTGACTAAGCGATATTCAGCTTGCTCCATGAATTTGTGTTGTATTAGGTATTAAGGTATTAAGAAGCTAAGCGATAGCCAGGCTAAGGGATAGCCAGAGTATTACCGATTAAACGATAATCGGAGAAATAGTACCGCTCTACCGGGAACGTTATCTATTTTCAGTTATCTGAGTAGATCCGGACAGCAGGGAAAACACGCGTGCCACTGTAGGAAACAGTGAGGAAAAAATAGAAGTGCACTGTAAAATATATAATCATTTGTTTTGTATGTTTTTGTCTGTGTGAAGAGTGAAAGAGTTATTACCAAAGGGGGAATAAGGGGTAAACAATAATAATAATAAATAAAGATTATAATATTAATAAAACTTAAAAGATATAATAATAAATTAACAGAAATAATTATTACAAAATATAGTTAAAAAGAATAACCTGAAAATTAATAAGGATTGGTAAACAGAATTGGTAACTGAAAAACACAGGGTTAAAAGAATAAAATAAATTAACA